TCTGTCATATACTGTGCATTTGGGAGCGAATGTGTTCTCGAAAAAGAACAATTCCAAGAACTGGTGTTGGGTTTTGAACTTACCGGGTTACCATTCCTGGCCGCCTTGAAACCACCAATGGGATTCCAAGACGTTGAGTCTGCATTGCCGGAGGGATTTGAGGACAGAGTCAAAGGAAAAGGGTTTGTTCATGGTGGTTGGGTGCAACAACAACTGATCTTGAAACACCCTTCCGTGGGTTGTTTCGTGACACATTGTGGGTGGGGGTCGTTATGGGAAGCTATGGTGAATGAATGTCAATTAGTGCTGCTGCCCCACTTTGGAGATCAGATTATCAATGCAAGAATGATGGGCGGAGATATGAGAGTGGGAGTGGAGGTGCAGAAAGGAGAAGATGGGTTTTTCACGAGGGAAAGTGTGTGCAAGGCGGTGATGGCTGTAATGGATGCAGAGAGTAAATTGGGGAAGGAAGTGAAGGCCAACCATGATAAATGGAGGGAATTCTTATTAACCGAAGGACTTGAGAACTCATACATTGATAATTTCGTTGAGAAGCTTCGTGGACTTCTATGATTTTTTTGAATTAAATTTGGAAATAAATAAATATGTTATTTGTGCTTCATATAGTACTTTTTATTTATTTATTTATAGGATATGATAAGTTGTACAATTTATAGAAGAAAAGAGGTAAAAAGAAGACCAACAAGAGGTTGGATCTAGTAATAAGCGGTTTATTCTAGTTTAAGCAAGATCTCGAGTTCGAGACTTTGTGTACGCAGCAGCTTTCGTTGGGAGACTCATCCACCATTTTCAGATGCGCGACACGGGTTGGGTCCGGATTAGTCGGGGCAAAGCCCCAGATACCGGGCGAGAAACCAAAAAAAAAAAGAGGTAAAGAGAAGAATTACACAAATTCAACCACATTAACCTATAGAGTGAAGGGGGACGGGCCCTGAATGCCTTGCTTACTCCTCATATACCTATTTGGGGAGGGGGCTCAATGTCTTCCTTACTCGTCATGTACCTATTCGGGGATAAGGTTAAGCAAACGGTCGATTAATTAAATGGGGAATGAGTAATTGAAAATGTTAAAAAATTTACTAAACGGTTAGATATAAATAGTTATTGTTTGTTTTTTTTTTTTCAATTTTAATTAGATAATTAAAAAAATTTAGTCAGTTAATGATTAGAGAGTTAAAAATTTGAAACCAAA